ACTACCTGAAAGGAGGATGAAGTGAGGTGGGTATTGGTCTCTTCTGCCAAGTAACAAGTGATAGGATAAGAGGTAACAGCCTCAAACTGCACCAGGGGAGGTTTGTATTGGATATTAGGAACGATTTCTTCACTGAAAAGGTGTTCAGGCATTGGAACAGGCTGCCCAAGGCAGTGGTGGAGGCACCATCCCTGGAAGTGCTCAAAAAGCGTATGGATGAAGCCCTTAGTGACCGGGTTTAGTGGTGGTCTTTGCAGTGCTGAGGAACAGTTGGACTTGATGATCTTAAAGCTATTTTCCAGCTTAGCTGATTCTATGATTCTATTCTGTGATTCTATTCCTCCTGGGGCACGGTGCCCGATGGAAATGCCAGGGGAGTGAGACAGCTTTGGCTTAACAGGTTTTATCAAACAAGCTCCAAAGTCGACCTGGAGACTGTGGTGGCTGCATGGTTGAATAGAATCGTAGAATCATAGAACAGTTTGGGTTGAAAGGGACATGCAAAGCTAGATCAGGTTGCCCAGAACCACATCCAGCCTGGCCTTGAATATCCAGGGTTGGTGCATCCACCACCTCTCTGGGCAACCTGTGCCAGTGTTTTATTACCCTCATTGTAAAGAATTTTTTCCTTGCATCCAGCCTGAATCTCCCCTATTTTAGTTTAAAACCATCACTGTGTCCTATAGCAACAGGCCCTGCTAAATCGGGAAGGGGTGGATCATAACTGCACCAGGGAGATGTTTGAAACAAGGAGGTTGCTGATGCGCTGCCTCCATCAGGTAAAAGTTCTCCTTTCCATTGAAGACAGTTTCCCTGCCCGATAGTGCAGGGGTTATGCTTTGGGTGGGGAAGTGGCTCTGCCACCCAGACACCCTCTGGGAGAGACAGCACCAAAGCAAAGCAAAGCAGGAGGCTTCCCAGTCCAGCCCGATTGCCAGCAGCAAACAAATTATGGGTGAGGTAGAAGTTGTGGGTCAGGTTTTGGGGTGAGTTCAGCTGCCCCTGGAAGCAGGGAACCCTCCCTGGCTCTCTGGGAAAGCTGCTGAGTGTCTCAGCCCACGGGGGGGATCCAGCCCTGGTGTAATTACAGTGGAGAGGTGTGAGCAAGAGGGCAGTGGATGTGCAGAGCCCTGGGCAGGCAGCACCATGTGGAGGTCTCCCTGGATGGGGGCAAATTCTCCCTTTCCAAGAGGAGACAGTGCCCATAGGAGCTGGTGGGTGATGCTGGGGTTTCTCTCTGAGGTCCACAATGAGCGGTGCTTACCCTCTGCCCCATGTGCCACAGGTTTCCCTCCCCCCTAGATCTGGCATCCTCATCCCCCTGCACATGCAGCCCCAGGGCTTGACCCACGTCAACCCCTGGCTCAGCCACAGCAGAAGGGGAAAAGACAGGACCAGAGCGGGTGTGCAAGGGCTTTACACTGAAACCACTGTGGTGAGGCGCTGGGGAGCCCTTCAGCCAGCACCATCAAGCATGGAGCCATCAGCAAACACCAGTTGTTTTTGTCTAAGGAAACAATACAACTTGGAGCTCATCCAGTCCATGACCTCCCACATTTCCCCATGGTGTGAAGGGTGAACAGCACGGACACCCCCAGCAAGCCAAGGCAGCAGATGGCAGTGCCATGCATGCACCGAGGTGAGCCAGTACTCAGCGCTCCAATGCCATGAGCGGCTCCTCTCCTCACCCATATGGGACAAGTCACATTGAAAATGGGTTTATCTCCAGATACTTCAGGTTAGTTCATTTTGATATAACAAGCAGGCAACAGTGAGGTATCTTGAGTTTTTATTTCAATCCTACTCCACAGGAAACAATATTCATTAGCATTACCTTCCATACCTTTGTGTTTATTTGACCCAGTACTGGGTTAAATATAAAATACTGATCGAACAAGAATGGACAGTGAAAACTTGAGATGCTAAAAAGATCCCTCAAACCCTCCTCCATAGACATCCTGAATGTTAGGAGTCATTTAGAACTAGTATAAAACAGGAGGACAATCCCATAACCTGCTCTGTGCTCCCTGCTTTGCGAGGGAAGGATTTAGGAAGCAAGAGAAGAGGGAGGCTTTATCAATTACAGAGAAGCCCACTTGGCAAATCTGGGCTCAAGGCAGCATGGCAGTGTCCCCAGTGGAGCCCAGCCACCCATTCCCACCTGGGCATCTGCCCTGCCCTGGGTTTTCAGATAAAGTGGCCTTGGAAAAGTCCTTCTGGCACCTCCCTGTGTGCCTCAGGAGCCCCCAGGATGGATTTAGAGCCAGACACCCGCAATGGCAAAACAGCTTCATCCCTTGGGATGAAGCCTGCAGGCAAAACACAATGGTGGTCCCTGGGCATCCTCCGCCCCTGACTGCTGTGTGCATTGTCTCTTCCCAGAGTGTTTTCCCAGTGGGATTTAGTGATGGAGAGGGAGGAGAGCCAGGCACATCGAGCTGCGGTTGTCACCATACCACATGGTGACTCTGGGAATCTGGTCCCCCACTCGGTGAAAGTTGAACACGTGTTTGTAAAGCACTGGTTGTCCTCCAGATGCTTCACAGGGTCCTCACATGAGCCCTGTGAGGTAGGTTGGTGTCTTCTCCCCCACTTTACAGGTGGGGAAACTGAGGCACAGAGAAGGGTAAGGACTTGCCAGACAGAAAAATATGGCATCTTCTGTTCTGGGACCTCATATCCTGCTATTTCAACCCCAGACGTGCTCCAGCGACTACTGGTTACTCACAGCTCATCCTTCTCCACTCCTCCATCTGCAGCAGATGATGGAGCAAGGGATGGGACCCTGGAGCCTGGGAGGTGCAGCAGCAGAGACTGGGCTCACACTGGGTCATTCACCCCTTGTCCCTAAGACCACGCATCACCCCAAGAGGTGTCCCCAGCCCAAAGGCTGCTTTGGGGTGCGCCAGGCAGGGTGCCCCCAGCAGCCCCATGCCAGGCTGGGGTGCCAGTCACAGCACCCAGAGCCCCTTACTGGAACCTCGTGCCTGTGGAAGTGAAAACCCACTGGATTCTTTTGCTGCGCTGATGACCACAGGCACCGGGTCAGGAGGGGATGAGTGTCTAGATGCTTTCTCTTTGGTAATTTGGTGCACAATATAGAGCTGGTCCTGGGGCGATGCAGGCTGGGAGAACCCTAAGCTCTGTGGGAGATGGAGCAGAGCCTGGACCTCAGCTCCTTGGCTACCAGAGAAACAGGAGATGTGGGACAGTGGCCATAAATCTCCTTCACTTGCCTTGTTGTGCCAAGGCTGCTGCAGACACAATTCATCAAGAGACCAAAAGGAGATGATGGGAAATCAATGCCTTCAGGGGCTCCTGGGGAGGTGCAGGCAGGACTGAGAGCAGTGCTGCTCTGCAGACTCCCAGCACAGACCCCAGCACACACCAGCCCTTAACAGCTCCAGTAGCTGTGCCTGGGGAGCAGATCAGGTGTGGTTTTCCCATTCCAGCACTATCAGGCTGCTCCTGAGTGCTGGATGGGTACTCCATGTCTTGTCATCCTACCTTGGAAAGCACTGTGTAGATGTGGTTATGTGTTTAAAAACGGAGGATCACTGGGACTTCTCCATCACAGCTCACTTTCAAGCATCACTCAGATGCATCTCTTCCCTGAATCTTCATCCCTGGAAATGCCAGAAATCCTCCCAGAAGTGGAATTAATGATGATGAGCAATAGGTCATCACCAGAATGGGAGCAGAGAAGGCAGGCAGCCTCCTGATCCCAATCCAAGGAGGTTTGCTTCCCTCCCTCAAGGAGAAAGAAAATCCCCTGATGTGGATGGGCTGACCCCAGCCAGGTGGATGCCAGGATCCGGATCCCCCCCTCTGCTCCCTGCTGAAGGCACAGGTAAGAGCCTGGGAGCGGGGCTGTGCTTTGAATCTGCCACAGCACTGAGATTGGAGAGGAAAACAAAGCACCCCAAGGAGAAAATGTCCTGGTGGGCTCCCAGAGCCCATCTAGGGGGAGTGTATTGAGTTGTGTGCCTAATACTGGCTTAGAGAAAGGGTTCTGCAGTGATTGAGGACTGCAGGGTACCCTGGAAGAGATCCCGGTTTCAACCTCATATAAGGCTTTGTCGTCTCTGGACCTTCCCATAGAGAACTTGGGAGGGAGTATTTAATGCTGGCATAATTCAGGTCCATTTAGGAGCGAGTCTGCATGGAGCAGGGGTGCCAATGTGCCCCCTCCCTGGCTGGGGCATCCCAGGGGGAAAGGGGTTGGATCTCTCCCCCCATCCCAACTCCTCCAGTCCCTTGGGTGGCTCATGCTAAGGGCTCGAGCAGCCAAGCCCAGGGTGTCACTAGCCAGAGGCCTGTGGGGCCAAGGTCTCTGCTCCCATGGGATGCTCAGGGCCAGGCAGGTGAGTGAAGCCTCCCCGAGTCCCCAGCACACGGTCGCTCTGCTGCCACCAGCAGCCCGTTGGTCGGTCACTGTGTTACAAAACCTGTGCCTGAAAACCAAAGAGTTCCTGAGGTTAAAGAAGGAAAATCTGTTTCAAACAACCTCCAGACTCTCCTGTCTGTGCAGGAAGGGCACCAGCAGCAGCTGCCCACGGGGCAAGTGGGTGGTTTGGGGTGAGCCCATGGCACAGGCTGTCTCCCTGCTCCTCTAATGCCCGCATGTGCTGGTCTTTAAGGCATCTACCGGGATGTTTCAGCCTCCAGCGTGCCGGGCCGGTAGAGGTACCTCCAAATGGCATAGTAGTGGATGCCAGCTCCAATGGCCACAAAGAGGTGCCAGATGGCATGGGCGAAGGGGATGCGGCCGTCGCTTTTGAAGAAGACCATGCCCAGGCAGTAGAAGAATCCACCGGCCACCAGCTCCAGGAGGCCATCCCTGTTGGGCTGGGAACAAGCAGGGAGATAGGGCTCAGTGGTGGCTGTGGCATCCCTGCCCTTCTCTCTGCCTTCTGCTGCACCCTCCCCTCCAGCCAGGCAGTGGGGACACAGTACCCTGGCTTGGCTTGGAGGACTTCAATGCAATGGAACCCAGGTAGGAAGTCCAATGGAAACACTGAGATCTGGTGGGGACCCAAAGCACCTGCAAAACCAAGCCAGGCCACATCGTATTTGGGGATGGCTTTATCCATCACATAACCTACTGGAACCAAGCAAGTCCTGCTGAGATTTGTCCCTCGCACTGAGCCCGTGTGCTTCCCAGCATTGGCTTACCATGGAGAGGACGACGACAGCAGGGAAGAAGCCCATGATAACATAGCACACCAGCTCCACCAGCTTGTATCTGCAACCAACAGAGAAGCTGCTTGGAGGTAGGTGCAGAGGGAACATTGAGTTTTACATTTGTAAGTGCTATAGGAAAAGGGGTGGAGGTGCCACCGCCGCAGTTCCCATGTCCTCATGTGTGAGCCACACCACCGCGGTGGAGCTGGCACCCTGCTCCGGGGGTGGTGGACCCTCACCCTGCCTTCGGAGCTGCCAGCTCGGGGCCAGGAGCCTGGGGCTTCGGAGCGACATCTGGGGCCTTTTGCTTTCCCTTTGGTGCCACCATGTGGAATAAGCAACTCATAGCAGCACGTTCCTGCTCCCGCATCCCTGCTCCTGCATCCTTTCTCCTGCATCCCTCTTCCCGCATCCCTGCCACCAAAGCTCCTAAAACCAGAATGCAGATGGGGAAGGACGTGGTCCAGGGAAGCCCTCCACTGCCAGTTGACCAGGAGGCTGCCCAGGGACCCTGTACCTATCTGTCTCTCTGTCTGTCTCCATCCTTCTTGCTTTCTCCTGCAGCTCCAGGCATTCAGAGGGGCTGGCAGAGCTGGGCTCTGCAATACCCACCAGCATGGAGCCAGGTAAAAGCACTCACCGCTCATGGAAGAAGAAAACATAGATAGTCCCAACAGATGCCATGATCCAGATGATCCAGCGCATGTGGGAGGCCCAGGGACCCAACTCCCTCAGGTTCAGCCTGCAAGACCCAAGTGGTGGTGAGGATCTAAGGTAGCACCCCAGTCCTGGCCATGGGCAGTGAGATGCCAGGGAAATGCTGCCCTTACTCCCATGGCTATCCCATTAAAGGGGTCTTCCCAGCTTGTAACTTCAGCATAAAGGGGTTGGAATCTATAGGATAGGAAGGATTTGTGGAAAGGGGTAGGGTACAGCCCCTATGTGTTGGAGCTGGGCTGATTTTCTCCCCTCCAGTGGGGCCAAGCAATGCCCCTCACTCACCAGCAACTCACCAGGGAGCGTATGATGCTGCAATGAAGAAGTAGATCACCATCCTGTCAAACATGTGCAAGCAGTGCTCCACAGTCCTGTGGGATGGACAGACAGACAGACAGGTCACAGCCTGCAGCACTGGGGGCCTCCGTATCCTCTCCCGCTTCTCCCAAGCCCCCAGCAATCAGGGCTGGTACCTGAGATGCCTCTTCTTCCAGGAGATGGTGTGGAAGATGGTGGAGACAATGAAGAGGCTGGACAAGCCAAAGCCATAGATCCAGGCTGAGATAGTTTCCCACTGGTCATCAGAGAGGATGTAGAGGATGGAGCTGCCAAGGATGCTGGGCAGGATCCAGAACTGGAAAGGAGAAGCAAACCTTTGTTGACTCTGCGTTTCCATTGAGCAGCTACAGTACAGTGTCTGCTTTGCCTTTTAGGTGTTTCTTTTGCTCCTGATCAAAGCTACCACCCCTGAGGGACAGGCTGGCCACCTGCATGGGACCAGCAGGGTTTCTCCCCTCTGTTTTGGTGCAGCTCCAAAACAGCTTCTCCAGATGAAATTAAAGGAGGAAGAGGAAGGCACAAGGAGGATGCTGCCTCTGAGTCATCCCCCAGGACTCAGAGTGGGAGCTTCCAGCTCCTGAGGGAAACTCCTATGTGGGGAGTGCTTGTGTAGGCAGCCCCATGGGGTGCCTGTCGTCATTGCCTGCTGTGAAGAACACTCCATATGCAGGGAGCTTTGAAAAATACTCCTGCTCCACTAAGCCCACAGCAACCAGCTTCCCTGGGGACACACAGCCATGGTGGGTGAGAGCAAGGGACATGCACACCCGCTTCCCAGGGCAGAAGGAGGGAGAGCATCCTCCTGCCCAGCATCCATCTGCCTCTCCACAGCCCTGAGACCCTCAGCAGCTGCTCCAGGGCTGAACACAGACTTTTTCAGGTGTTCCTTGAAGCTCCTCAAAGGATCGCTGGAGAGCTGAGCACCATCCCGCCTCTCCCTGGGACCAGGACAGGGACTCACTGCATGGGTGGCACAGTTCGCTGCGTGCTCGTACTCCGTCGGCTGGTACCTGCAGTTGGATGGGACGCGGTGATTCATGAACCTGCAGTGAGAAACAGGGAGAGAAACTCACTCAGAGGATGGGGCTTGGGGGAATCATAGAATCATGGAATGGTTTGGGTTGGAAAGGACCTTAAGATCATCTAGTTCCAAACCCCCTGCCATGGTCAGGGACACCTCGCACTAACCCACGTCACCCAAGGCTCTGTCCAGCCTGGCCTTGAACACTGCCAAGGATGGAGCATTTACCACTTCCTTTGGCAACCCATTCCAGCATCTCACCACCCTCACAGTAAAGAACTTCTTCCTTACATCCAACCTGAACTCCCCCTGTTTAAGTTTGAACCCATTGCCCCTTGTCCTATCACTCCAGTCCCTGATGAAGAGTCCCTCTCCAGCATCCTGGAATCTCCATGTTGCCTTTGGTTTCTGGGTACCACCTGCATCTTCCTCCTACCCACACATCCCAGCACAGATTACCACAGGGGAAACCCCACCATGCTCCCTTGGAAACCTATAGCTTTATTTCTGTTTCTCTTAGTCTGAGGTATCAGGTTGCTCTTGGTGTTCAGAGGAGCGTATCGATTTCCCCTGTCAGATCAACACACAGCGATAAAATATAGTGTCTGGCTTGGCTAGTCCATTGCTGGGTAGGTAAGGCTGTATTAAGAGGCAAATTAAATATGCATCCGTGGTAACAGGTCAGAGCAAAGCCTCACTCAGCATCTTCTGGCAGGGGCCAGAAGTGGAGGCTTTGCAAAAGGGAATAAGAACCAGGCAAATAGGGGAGGGATCCTTCCCTGCTTGCTCTGGTAATCAGGGGTTTAAAGACTTTGCTGCTGTGGCTCAGGACCTGGACTAATTGCTTTCTGGCCCTGTTTGCTCCCAGTTCTGGCATCATCTGTGGTGTGTTTCACAGCTGAGCTGTGCCCAGTGAGGGGGCTCGGGGGCTGGCAGGACCTTGCTGCTGGGCACAGGGTGATGCAGGGCACTGGGAAAGGCAGTAAAGGTCTCCTCTCTGCATCCCTGAGCCACCCACATCCATGCAGACTCCTCTGACATCTTCCTGCTCAGCCCCACTGCCTGAGCCACTCGCTGCTGTCCATTGAAAGTGAGCCAGGATGGATTAAATAGCTCAAATGACAAGGATTTTAGGCAAGGGGGAGTGTGGCCACAACAGACCCAGCCCAGGAACTGTGTCCCCAGCCCCTGCCCTGCTTGCCCTTCCCTATGTGGGAAGATACATGGTCATCACCAAAATATGAATTAAGAGGAGAAAATAGAGGGACTAAGCTCCCATTGCTCTGCAGTGGAGGACCCACACTGGGTAAATCAGGGCTTAGCAGGACTGGGCATCCTTGTGGACGTGCTTGTGCACAGCGTGCTGCCACCTCCATCCAGGGAACACCAGGGATGCCCTCCCCATCCCAACACTCTGGCCATGAGGAATGGCCGGAGCCATGTCCCCTGGCAGGAGGACATTGCTGTCCCCAGCGTTGCCAGGAGACTGTCCCCAGCTCCCCTTTGCTTTCTGCTTCCCTTTCTTTTCACTTCTATAATAAGGCGGCGGGCAGGGGAAGGCCAGACATCCCGCGTGACATCGGTTGCTGAGGAAACGCCTTCGAGGCCTTTTCCTTGGATTTATTTGTTTTAACAAAGCCCTGCACCGTCTCCCCTCTGTTCTGAGCTGTTACAAGCAGTAACAGGGAGCAGAGGCAGGGCTGGTTCCCACAGCCCCTTCCCACAGGGCTAAGGGACACCCAGACCCTTTGGAAAGGGATCCCTGGGGTGCAGATATCCTCCCTAGCCAGGAAGAGCCACCCCAGCCATCCCAATGGGATGAGGTCAAACAGCATGTGTGTCCCTGAAGCCCAAAGCTGTGCTGGTGCAGCACACTGCAAACTTCTGCTTTTCCCAGAGGGAGAAATAGCCTTGAGGAGGAACCTTTTTGACCTGCTCTTGTTTCCCTGCCCTGCTTTCTAATAAGCATCATCCTGTGAAAGATGGAAAACAGAGCATCACAGATGTGGGACCTGGCTGCAAAGCGCTGGGCCAGCCTGGCTACAGCGGGTCCTCCTAGAGCAGCCAGCATTGTATTTTGTGGTGAGTTGGGCACACATTCCTGTTCTTCTGTGCTCAGAGCAGAGCTGTGCAGACAAGCATGGGAGCAGCCAATGTTTGCACATCTGGCAGGGCATTTGCTCACCTTCTCCTCTCCTGGGACTTTATCTACCTCCCAGACCATCCCGGGATGCCAAGCATCCATCCAGCTCACGCCATCCCTGTGCACACTGGCAGGGGATGCGGGCAGGGCATGGGGAGCCCTGCAGCATTCCCAGCCTGCAGGAGGTAGCTGTACTGGTGTGCCAAACCAGCCTCAAAGCTGAGCTCCAGCCTGGACACACAGACAGACACACTTGGAAAGGGCACCTGCAACTCTCATTAGAGCTGATGAAAGCTCAGAGAGGCTGGGGGGACAGCCCCAGCTCTGTGCAACTTGGGTCAGAGAAAGGGAATTGCTGGAGCCAGGCAGAGCTCTGGGGCTTTTCAATACAGCAAGAAGAGAAACACCATCCAAACTTAGCTCTGATCCCTGCAGCAAGGCTCCTGCCTGGCTGGCTCAATCCACAATCATTGCCTGCTCTATGTCATTGCAACTGTAGGGTTGGGGATATCTTGGCTGTGTCACTTGGGCAGGAGGAGATGAAGGAGATGTGTTCCCAACAGCATCCAGCCTACACTGGCTGGGCACCCATCAAAGCCACAGTGTTTGGAGCACTGTGTACAGTTCTGGTGTCCTCAACATAAGAAGGACGTGGAGCTGTTGGAGCAAGTCCAGAGCAGGCCACAAGGATGATCAGGGGCTGGAGCACCTCCCGTATGGAGACAGGCTGAGAAAGTTGAGGCTGTTCAGCCTGGAGAAGAGAAGCTGCGTGGAGACCTCAGAGCAGCTTCCAGTGTGTGAAGGGGGCTATAAGGATGATGGAGAGGGGCTCTTCATCAGGGACTGGAGTGATAGGACAAGGGGTGATGGGGTCAAATTTAAACAGGGGAA